GAATTACTAGCACTAAATCAAGCTTATGAACTACACTGTGAACTACTAGCACTAAATTAAGCTTATGAACTACACTGTGAACTACTAGCACTAAATCAAGCTTATGAACTACACTGTGAACTACTACCACTAAATCAAGCTTATGAACTACACTGTGAATTACTACTACTAAATCAAGCTTATGAACTACACTGTGAATTACTATTACTAAATCAAGCTTATGAACTACACTGTGAACTACTACCACTAAATCAAGCTTATGAACTACACTGTGAACTACTACCACTAAATCAAGCTTATGAACTACACTGTGAACTACTATCACTAAATCAAACCTATGAATTACACTGTGAACTACTACCACTAAATCAAGCTTATGAACTACACTGTGAATTACTACCACTAAATCAAGCTTATGAACTACCACTAAATCAAGATATATAAATGAGAGTTAAAATGTTTTCATACTGATTGATGTTTACAGCTTATGAACTACAGTGTGAATTACTACCACTAAATCAAGATATATAAATGAGAGTTAAAATGTTTACATACTGATTGATGTTTACAGCTTATGAACTACAGTGTGAATTACTACCACTAAATCAAGACATATAAATGAGAGTTAAAATGTTTACATACTGATTGATGTTTACAGCTTATGAACTACAGTGTGAATTACTACCACTAAATCAAGACATATAAATGAGAGTTAAAATGTTTACATACTGATTGATGTTTACAGCTTATGAACTACAGTGTGAATTACTTTCACTAAATCAAGATAAATAAATGAGAGTTAAAATTTTAATATACTTCAGCCTCGCCATTGAGTGGAATTAGTCCTCAGATCACAAAGCTTGTCAAGCCGATGAGAACCCTTGTTGAAGAACAGAGTCATAAAGAAGCTCGACCGTTGTTGAATCAAGAAGAATCAGATGAGGTAAGGGTTTGAGAAAAAACAATTTTTTTTGAATAATTTTGTATTTCAAATAAGTGACAACTTTTTTTAAGTGTTTTAGTTTTTTGAATAAGTTTAGCTTGTTGAATCAAGAAGAATCAGATGAGGTAAGGGTTTGAGAAAAAACAATTTTTTTTGAATAATTTTGTATTTCAAATAAGTGACAAGTTTTTCTAAGTGTTTTAGTTTTTTGAATAAACGTTTTTGTCGTGGTAAGATAAAACCAAATATTGTGTATGTTAGAATATACTCATCTGAAAATGGAAGCTTGCTGAATGCATTAATTATACATAAGTTAAACTGTAGGTAAAGATACAGAATATATCTTTTACCATTAAGTAGGTGCCATATACTTCTTCAGTTCATTTAAGTTATTATCAAATAATTGTTTTTCTAGCATTAAAAATAGATTACTTAGACTCAGCTATAGTTGTTTTATAAAGTGTCAATTTTATGAGAGTTTTTTTAAATAAGGTTATTGTAACTTTTTTTGTTTGGAAATTTTTCAAAATTAAGTTACATTTTTCAGTAATTTCAAATTGAAAGTATCTATCTGTAATGCACGTGATTTTTGAGATTAATGATATTAAATTTTTTTGTATCTTGAGTAGAAAAACAATATTATGTATCATAGCAAAGCATTGTTTTCGTGATTGTTCTTAAACACTGGAAATTTAAGATACACCTTTTATGGTAATTTATATGCATAGTTTTCACGATAGAGAAGTTTATATATATTATTTTCTTCAGTCAGAAGAAGAGGAAGAAAAGTGCCAAATGAGTAAACTTAAATTAGATGAAACACAAGAAGATGAGGAGTTCACAGAATTTGAATCTTATCAAGATTATAAAAACCAACCAGTTGATGAATCATTAAACCGTCCTGCATCCAAATCCGTTTCCATAGATAGTGAGACCCCTCGTGTTCATGAAGAAGACTTGACATCAGGCAATAAAATGCAGCATTCAGTGACAGAGGACAGTCTCACAGAGTTGCAGGTAATTTTTGATTATCAAAAATTAATTAGCTCTCTATAATTGGGCTTGGTCATTTTGACAGGTCTTGTAATAACCGTGTAAATGTGGAATTATACATACTATAAATTATAATGTACTAAGTGTGTCTTCATGAACTCTGGTATCTCATTTTCTGCTGTAAAGTAAAATAATAATATTAAGCTGAATACTTATTGTGTTGTGATTAG